AATGTGACTAGACCTTAGAAACAGTGGTTCTTTGGGGAGTGCCCATCCCCTGTTTCTTTGGACGAAGCACAGAGACTGGAGAAGGTGAAGTAAAGCCCTAGATCTGAGGAGAAAAGAGGAGTGCTTGGCTTTGCACGGGTGATATACAAAGTGGCCACAAGCCTGATGGGAAAGCCGACGAACCAAAATGGCATCCAGGAGAGTCTTAGTTAAAGAGTATGAGGTCGAGCATAGAAAGTCATGAACTGCCAGAGTAGCGTGGGAAGATAACCAGGGTTCCTGAGTACCCACCCGCCACCAAAGTTTCTGAATTGTTGGGCGCATCAGGGCACTCTAATAGGAATCAATCCTACTTGCTTGAGGTGAACGATGTTTCTTAATATATCGGTGGATTTGGTTTGCTAATATTTTCTTGTCTAGGTTGATCAGAGCTATGGGCCTGTAGTTCTCCATTTGCTTTGGGTTTTGTTTTTGTTTTTACATTTTGCTTATCTAGATTTGGTACCAGAGTCATCCTAAGCTGAGAGAATGGATTTGAAATTCTTCCCTTCTTTTCTATTTTCTGGAAGAGATGAAGAAGAAGAATCGATATCAACTCCTTAAATGATTGTTAGATTTCACCTTTGAAGACCTCTGGTTCTGGAGTTTTGTTGGGAGTTTTCTGATTACTGATTACATATCGTTGCTGGTAGTGTGCTCAAAATCTTTCTTTCTTGCTAATTCATTGTTGGGAGGTTCATGTTTCCACAAATGTATCCATTTCTTCTCGGTTTTCCAGTTTCGTAGCATATAATTTGTATGATACTCTTTCATTGGACTTTCTTCTTCTGTGGTCTGTTATTGTTTCCTCTGTTTCATTTCTGAGTCTGAATCCCCCCGCCCCCCCCCCCCCCCTTTTTTTTAAGTCTGCCTAAGGGCTTATCAATTTTGGGGATCTTTTCAAGGAATCCCCTCCTAGTTTCACAGATTTGTTGTTGTATTGCTGTGCTTTTAGTCTATATTTTCTTTATTTCTGTTGTAGTCTATGATTTCCTTCCTCTTACAGGTGTTGGTTTTTGTTGTTGTGCTGGCTCCATTCGGTGGAAGATTCCGGTGTTCATTTGAGGTTTTTCTTGCTTCGTGAGGTAGGCCTTCGTTGCTCTCCAGTTTCCTTTTAGTGCAGCTTGGGCTGCATCCCAAGCATTTTGGACCATTGTGTTTTTACATTGTCATTTGTCTCGATGTATGTTCTCGTATCCCCTTTGAGTTATTGATTGACCCATTCAGTCATTCAGTGTTACTGAAGATCCCTGTAATGGTGTAGGTTTCATGTTTCTTCCTGTGGTTGATGGCTAGTTTCATAAAGTTTTTGTTAGAAAAGATGCCTGATACAACTTCAGGTTCCTTGAATTTAGTGAGACTTGTTTGTGGCCACCAATGTGATCTGATTTGGAGAATGTTCTATCGGGACTGGAAGAGAATGTGTATCTTCCTGTTTCAGGCCAAATGTTGGACTAGATCTATTAGAGCCGTCTAGACCAATATGTCATTGAAAGCCACAGTATCCTCATGGATTTTCTGTCTAGATGATCTATCCATGGATGTAACTGGGGTGTGAGTCTCCTACCCTCATTTATTTCTCTGGAAAAGTTCCTCGTTGTCGTTGTTGTTGTTGTTGTTGTTTTATAATTTTATTTTTTTTCTTCAGCATAACAGTATTCCTTGTTTTTGCACCACACCCAGTGCTCCATGCAATCCGTGCCCTCTCCAATACCCACCACCTGGTTCCCCCAAACTCCCACCCCCGGCTGCTTCAAACCCCTCCGATTGTTTTTCAGAGTCCATAGTCTCTCATGGTTCACCTCTCCTTCCAATTTCCCCCAATTCCCTTCTCCTCTCTAACTCCCCTTGTCCTCCATGCTGTTTGTTAGGCTCCACAAATAAGTGAAACCATATGATAATTGGCTCTCTCTGCTTGACCTGTTTCACTCAGCATAATCCCTTCCAGATCCGTCCATGTTGCTACAAAAAGTTGGGTATTCATCCTTTCTGATGGAGGCACAATACTCCATAGTGTATACGGACCACATCTCCCTTATCCACTCGTCCGTTGAAGGGCATCTTGGTTCTTTCCACAGTTTGGCGACCGTGGCCCTTGCTGCTATAAACATTGGGGTACAGATGGCCCTTGTTTTCACTACATCTGTATCTTTGGGGTAAATACCCAGTAGTGCAATTGCAGGGTCGTAGGGAAGCTCTCTTTTTAATTTCTTGAGGAATCTCCACACTGTTCTCCAAAGTGGCTGCACCCACTTGCATTCCCACCAACAGTGTAAGAGGGTTTCCCTTTCTCCACATCCCCTCCAACACACGTTGTTTCCTGTCTTGCTAACTTTGGCCATTCTAACTGGTGTCAGGTGGTATCTCCATGGGGTGTTAATTTGAATCTCCCTGATGGCTAGTGATGATGAACCGTTTTTCATGTGTCTGATAGCCATTTGTATGTCTTCATCGGAGAAGTGCCTGTTCATACCTTGTGCCCATTTTTTTGATATGATTGTCTGTTTGGTGTGTGTTGAGTTTGAGGAGTTCTTTATAGATCCTGGATATCAACCTTTTGTCTGTACTGTCATTTGCAACTATCTTCTCCCATTCCGTGGGTTGCCTCTTTGGTTTCTTGACCGTTTCCTTTGCTGTGCAGAAGCTTTTGGTTTTGAGGAAGCCCCAAAAGTTTATTCCACCGGTATTTTTCAAAGAGCTGGAGCAAATAATCCAGAAATTGGCATGGCACCAGAGGAGACCCCGAATCGCTAAGGAAATGCTGAAAAACAAAAGTAAGCCGGGGGCATCACATTACCTGATTTCAAGCTTTACTACAAAGCTGTGATCACCAAGACAGCATGGTACTGGCATAAAAACAGACACTTAGACCAGTGGAACAGAGTAGAGAGCCCAGATATGGACCCTCAACTCTATGGTCAAATAATCTTCGACAAAACAGGGAAAAATATACAGTGGAAAAAAGACAGTCTCTTCAATAAATGGTGCTGCGAAAACTGGACAGCTACATGTAGAAGAATGAAACTCGGCCATTCTCTTACACCGTACACAAAAATAAACTCGAAATGGATAAAAGACCTCAACGTGAGACAAGAATCCATCAGAATCCTAGAGGAGAACATAGGCACTAATCGCTTCGATATCAGCCACTGCAACTGCTTTCAAGATACGTCTCCAAAGGCAAAGGAAACAAAAGTTCCGTGCTTTTAATAGCTGCTTTATGTATTGGGGGGCTCCCATTTTGGGTGTAGAGATATTGACAACTTTTATATGTTCTTGTTGATTGTGTGCTTTAGGATTAGGTAGTGTCCTTCTTTGTCTCTTGTTTTCAGTCTTTGTTTGAAAGTCGGTTTTGAGTCTGCTGTAAGTACTTTTACCCTGGCTTTCTTTTCCCTTCTGTTTTCATGGCCAAAGTTTTTTTCCGAACCTTCCCTTTAAATTTACATCTGCCTGTAGGTCTGAAACGGGCCTTTTGTGTGCGGTGTATCGATGGGTCTACTTTTATCCATTCTGTCACCCTATGTCTCTTGATCTTAGTGTTTGGGCCATTTCCATTTAAAGTAATAGTTGATCGATCTCCCTCTCTCTCTCTCTCTCTATCTATATACGTTTGTGTGTATTTATTGCCACTTTCTTATTTGTTTTTAGGTTGTCGGCACGGTTCTTCATTATTTCTTCTGTTGCTCTTTCTCTCATGGTTTGCTGGATTTCTTTCGGCTCTGCTGAGCTTCCTTCCTGTGTGTGTGTGTTTTTTTTTTTTCAGATCTGCTACCAGTTTTTGATTTGTAGTTACCATTCTGTTTATATAGCGCATCCTGTGCATATAGCAGTCTATGGTGAGTTGATGGTTGCTTAAGTGTGAATCGATTCTTCACACTTGTCTCATCCATGTTTTAGGTATAGTCACCTTTTAGGTATGTAAAGTGATACTTCCCATCTTTTTATGGTCTACATCCCTTGACCGATTTTTAGAGCTAGATCTCATTTTCCTGCTTTTGTGCTTCCTCCTTTCCTTCCTCCTACATATGATCTTTACTTTCCACTCAAAGAGTCTCCCTTCATGCTCATGGTACAGACGGTTTAGTGATCCCGAATTCCTTTAACTTTCGTTTGGGAAATGCTATTGCTCCTTCTATTCTGAGTGAGAGGCTTGTTGGAGAGAGTGTTCATGGCTGGATTTTGTTTGTTTGAGTCTGGTGTTTTGGTTTAGTTTTTTTTTTTTCATGTATACATTGCCTATATCATCCCACTCAATTCTGGACTGCAAAGTTTCTGCTGAAAAGTCTGCCAAAAGCCTTGTATGTAACAGTCTTCTTCTCTCTTGCTGCTTTTATAATTATTTCTTTTCACCCCCTTTTTGCTATTTGGATTTCTAGGCATTTTGTGGTGGACTAGCTTGGGAAGATTTTGTTGGGGGCTCCTTGGGCCTCCTGGATCTGGACTTTGGTTTCCTTCCCCAGATTCAGGAACATTTCACCTATGACTCGTGCAAATAAAGTTTCTGTCTCCTTCCCTCTCTCTCCTGCTTCTGGCATCCCTGTAATGCCAAAGATACTACACTTGATGATGTCACTGAATTCTCCATTCGTATTTCAGTTTTATCATAATTTTTACTCACTACTCTTCAGCTTGATTGTTTTCCATCATCCTGTCTTTCGGATCACTGATCCTTCTGCTTGCTCTCGTCCACTATGTGTCCCGTGTACTGTGTTTTTGGCCCATTTCACTGTATTTTAGGTTTACACAGATAGAACTAAGAAAGACGGGGTGGGGGGAAGGAAAATTAGACAGTCATGGAGACGAGCGTACAAACTTCCCCCCGCCCCCTCCCCCACACCCTGCCATGTATCTGACTACATGGGAATGCCGGTTGCTGGTTGGGTTCCAGGCGGAATGCTGAGGGTGTGTTGTGACTACCGGATCCACGGTGACCATCACTTGTCCTGTGGTCGAGCAGTACCATGGAGGAGCTGCCAGACTCTCTGGAGCATGGCTTTGAGCTGATCCTTGGGAAGTTGTTTGAGATGATGGCGAAGCTGCTGCCAAGTGACTGGAGTCCTGGACTGATGTTCCACAACCTCCAGTGGGAAACACTGCTGTGTCCCCCTGTCATTGGCTTCTTGGTGGGCCTCCTCTTTCTATTCCGACTGGTTCAGTCCGTTAGAAGTCACTCCTATGAAAAACGCGAGAAGCAGCTGGCAGAAGCACTGGCTGCAGGGATCGAGGAGAAATGCCACCTCATTGACAAGGTTTTTGTAGCTGAGAAGGAGCATGCAGCAATCGAGTCATCTGCAGAAGAGGCCAAACTAGAGAAAGAGTCACTCGATATACCCAGCCTTGCAGAGTCTTACAGAAAGGGGAAGATGACCAACGTGATGCTGACGAAGGAACTCCATTCTCTGTGTCGAGACCTGGAGGAAGAGAGTGCCAAAAGATCCCAGCAAGAAGAGCAGATGATGGAGGTGCTAAAAGACCTGCAGGCCCTGGAAGACATGATGACTTTCGCTAAATCACTAGGAGCTTTTCCGAACCTGCTTGGAGACCCAAGAGCCAAGCCCTGCTGCTCCTTTGCCTGGAGTGGGCCTGGGGCTTAAAGCGGTGCTGTTGCCTCCCCTCCACTCCGGCCTCCCCCCCGCCAGGCTTTGTTCCTCACCTTCAACGTCTATCTGCGGGTCACGGTGCCCAGTGGATGCAAGGTTTGTCCTCCCCGGACTGAGTTCTTCCATCTTCACTTACTAGACACAGCACACGGCTCCTTCATGCTCGACTCTCCCACGTCTAAACACTATTGCACGTCCTGCAACCCCACTCAACCCTCTGGGACTTTCTTTGTCTTCACCGAAGTTTGGACTTGCTTTCAGTAGTACCGAAAGACATACTTTCCTTAGAAGCGAATTATCTTTTACTCTGATGCCTTAGATTTCTCAAGTTCTTATATTGCCAAGGCTATTTACAGTAGTCTTTGATAGGGGAACTATTTTAATTTATTCTCTCTATAATATTGTATTATAGTT